CTTGTTTCCTGTGCTGTCTCAGCTAATTTGAATCACTCTCTTGAAGGTAGTGGTGACATACCACAGAATATTCCAGTAAGAAGTACAGCCAGTCTAGATGAGTTAACATCACAAAAAAACAATTCGTTTGGAAATGACACAGTACCAACGCCTTCTTGGATCAGCAATCCAAACTCTGGAATTGGAACAATGCCATTGCTTGCAACAACAACAAGCAATAGTGATGCTAGTGCCGCAAATCCAGGTCCGGTCAAGAAAAAGAGCTTGTTTGCCATGCGAATGGAAAAGTCTCGTAACATTGAGAAAATTGCAGAATCGCCCATAGCAAAGGGTGACATGTCAAAAAGTCAAAGTAAATTTGGTAAGTAAGTTACCTGGTAAAATTCATGTGTGGCTCAATGCCTTCTTGTCATTTATTTTCCTTTTGACTTTCATTAGGAGAACACAGCTACATTGTTTCTGGCAAAGAGGCTGCAGAAATTCATAAACAGAATGTAGCACAGCTAGAAAAGTTATCTGTTCAGGAAATTGAAGAAGAGAGGCAGAAACTCATGTCACAACTAGGATCAAGCACGATTAAATTTCTTCAAGAAAGGAGAAGAGCAAATCAGAACTTGGTTTCTGACACTGATCACATTAAATTAGCTAAGAGCATTGCTATGAAATCAACCTCACAAACTGCTATCAAATTATCAGTTCATGATGATACTGCGTCACCATCCTCTGAGCCACAGACAAATTTCACAAAGCAAACTGCAAAAGCAGGTGAAAGAAAAAAGGTATTCTCAAACTCTCTTACCTCTCAACAAAATAAGAGTGATACAAAGCCAGAAGAGGAAGATTTACTAGCTACTCTACCCATAAATCCAAATGAAGCCAAACAATGGCTGCACATGGATGTTTTGGAAAAAGATAAGTTTGAATGGATGAGAGATCTACCACCTGTCAAAGCAGATCCTGGACCTGAGGAGCCATATTCTGCACGATTTGATTTTGAAGGTTTGTTAGTTGTTTACATGGATTATGCTTTTCCATTGTTTTGTGGATGGACTTGAGGGATTGTTCTTTCTAACTATGTTTTTTCTACAAAGGTTTACTTTTACCATACAATGATGAAAAGTTGGATGTTAATAGAGGTTTACACCACCATGGAGATGAGCCTGAAAGGCCTGGATATACGCTTCAAGAGTTAATGCAGTTAAGTCGAAGTTCTGTTCAACAGCAGCGTATAATGGGTCTTAACACTATAGGCAATATTCTTCTTAAGGTACAAAGTAAATACAATAAATAAATATGTGTTTGTTGAAAAACTAGATTTCTATCTATATTAGTATTTTGTTATATTTTCAGGCCAAACTTGGAATCTATGACAATGTTCTCCAACAAAATATTCTAAAAGAATTACTAGATGCAGGAATATTCCTTTTACTTCGCTTTTCAATGGATGACTTAAGTCCTGCTGTTGTTTTCACCGCATTATCAGCAATGAGAAATCTGTTGTTTAGTGAGCCTGATGAGGTAATCCAAAATTTCTGAT